GGTGATTCAATCTTACTGGGACAACATGAGACAATCTAGGAAACCAGTCTCACCACTTCATTTCAGAGGAAAGTGCTGGAAATGCATCAGCTCACTTCTGAGAAAAATATGTTTGAAAGAGTCATGTTGAAGCAGAATCTCTATTATTCACTACGCTGGATTTAATGATGGGACATAAGGGCGAATAACTGAGCTGTCAGTTCATACATGCACTGACAGGTCGAGGTTTTACATGTTAAAAGAAATTTTGATTCAACACTTTTCCATCTTATCAATCGATTATGCAAGATAGCGTGTCCTGTAGTTTTAATTTTTGAATGATTCACCAGTTCTGAGTTGTATCATACTGGGTTCCAGAAGTGGATATATAAATACATCCATTTTAAGATTTAAGAGTTTTGTCTCAGTCAAACATTAAAAAAACAAATACACAAAGGTTGGTACTGGGTGGACAAGACCAGATTAGGTGTGTACTGTAAAACTAGAAGGTAGTGGGATTATCCTGGTCTGGTGGGCCTAACTGTTACCCATGAGGAAGTTTTAGTCAGAAATATTAGCCCCCATAAACACACTAAGTGGGGCATTCTCCACTAGTTAATCCTAATCTGTACATACACTTCACAGAGCCTCAAACTGCACTGTCTGCACTCAGTCTTAGTTATTAAAGCAGGCCTATCTACAGTATATCCACCAGCAGGCTCTTATTTAGGTAGATCAAGATGACAATATCTGTGATTTCAGGCCAGAATGGTAACTGTGTAGTTTGATAACAAAATAACAACTAGTCCAATGCAGCATCCCAGTGTGCCTGACGTAAAAACAATGCTAACAGTAGCAGGGTTCAATCCGGGAAGGAAAAGAAGAAAAAAGAAAGATAACTAAATGTCAGTGTTACCGAAGTGTGTGCATACGTGTCTAACGTTTCAGCGAATAGACAACATGGCATCATTAATAATCTATGAGGTGTGTCCCACTTGACTTACCAGCAAACTTTCCAGGTTTATGGCAGATCTGGGATCTCTGATCATGTCCTCCAGCTTCTTGAGCCGGGTTTCCATCCTCCTCTCGGCTCCCAGCGACATGACTGCAGCGTCGGCTCGGTCAAAAAGTTGGGTAAAGTATGAAGAGGTTTTCCCGAACAGTTTTTGAGTTTACATGTGAAACCTCTTTGTTCCTGGCTAATGGCCGTGGGCCTAGCGGAGCAGCCTTGGGCTCTCAGCCCACCCAAATCGCTTCCAACAGGAATACTGTGCACAATGAAGAGAAAAATATTCCCAAAGCAAAGAGAGACTCTCTCTCTCTCTCCCCCCTCCCCCACCCCCACCCCGCTTCCCAAAACTTGCCGAGAGAGCGGGCCTTTGAGTTAAGCTAGCAGTCTGGCTCTGAGCTAATAAAGATAACGTTACACTTGAATTATCACCTCCCGTTGAGTGAAAGATGCATTTTTCCAACTCGGCGATAAAGTTTGAATGTGGAGATAGCAGCAACAGGCAGCAGCGGCAGGGCGTTTTCTTTGCCCCCCTCTCCTCCCCTTCCCTTTTGGTTTTTTGGCCGCTTGGAAATGCTTTGGACTCGCCTTTTAGAGGAGATTCCGCTTCGTTTCACCCCATTCAATGAGGTTTGTAGCCCGTTAGTGCTGTAGTTTCTCCTCAGTGCTGCCACAAGTCATCCGAAGGGGCGATAATGTCTGTTCTCCCGCGCTGAATTTTTAATAAGCAGACACTCTCTTCCTGGATTTCTTCTCGCATTTTCACATTAGTCCTCCTCGTCTGGTCCTCGTTATCGGCTTTGTTCACACAGATAAGTAGTTTTATTCGCAGAGAAAAGTCCTCCAGCGGCCGAATTCTTCGCCGTACACTCACATCTACACACACCAACACACACTGAGTCAGCCTCTCTCCTCCCCCTGACATCAACACACCGAGAACTCAGTTACCCATAACCCATCGGTCCTCCTGCACCTCTACCTCTCTGTCTGCCTCTGTCTTTGACTTTGTTTAATACTTTCACGCTGTTGTAAACAGAATAGTACATATGATAGTATTCCAGATATTTAACAATCCAACAGACAATCCTCTGATGGGCTTTCACTCCCACAACTAAATCTGAAAAAAAAAAGTTTTTTCCTGCAGTATTCAGTGTACCATTGATATATGGAGAAAGGGTTCCAGCTTTTTAAGTTTCACCAAAATATAATGAATTTCATTACAATAATAATACATCCAACCTGCTCCTAGTAACTGATCAAATCAACTATTAAGGATAATATACACCCTCTGGGATCTATAATGGATATTTTGTTTTCACTAGGATTGATCAGAAATTAACCTAATGATCTCAGTAACGGAATTTAACAGGATAGCAGGACAAATGTGTCTTTGTAATGATTGTATTAAATAAATAATTAACAATAAAGTGTGTGAGCGAGCACTTGGACCACAGATACATCCCTTCACCTTGCTCCAGCTTAATGCATCTCTCTATTATAATGAACTGCTTTCAAATCTTTCCACAATAACTGTTCAGCTGTTGTTCCTTTCACTGGTGTAGTACAACAGTCATTCAGTCTGCAGCCATTTACATTTGCCATTCAATACACAGCTGGCTGTGCTCTTTCCTGGGAACAATCCTGTATCAGTAACAGGAAGTGATGCATTTTACATTTTCTTTATTTGGAACAGTTTGCGTCAGTAGCAGCAGCCACAGTGGTGGAACAGACAAACACATGAGCGCCACCTACAGAAACATGAACTTTAATAATGGAAAATCCAAGGAAAAGCATTGATAGTAGTTTGTTTGACAGGTGATACCTGGGAAATGTAGTGTGAGACAACATAGTAATGAACTGCCTGCATGTTTTACCTCTAACTCCTCTTTCAGCCAAAAAAAATATATATATAAAACCAAATCAGGATGTTTTCATTAATCGTGTCTCATAACTTATAGAAGGAGAGATAAAGCAGTACGCCAGACATTACAACCACCACTCTGAACTCATATTATCTACTAATCTGAATTTATTTGATTTGATCATTTTTGGTAAAGGCAAATACCAGGCAAAGGCAGTGTGACCTATGACCTTACTCTTCATCTTGATTCAGATTCCAGATTGTTGATGAAGTTTAATTGAGTCGTTGATTTCCAAAGCAGCAATCAGAGGTGAGAACAAGAAACACAATGCACCCCTGCTGACAGCGCTCATGCCTGAGAAAATTCTAGTAAATGCATACAGTGTGTCTGTATGTTTTATAGTCCTTTTCCACAAAATCAATTGTTGTCATTGTAGGAAAAGCACAGGAGTTATTAATAACTTAATTACTACAGCTGTGCTTTTCCTACGGTGACATGTCAAAATGTCTTCAGTGGAAAAGGCTGATGTATTATTATTATTTTGAATAATATAAGGACTACTGCAGAAGAATAAAGAAATAATGCAATAATGACAAAAATAACTATTGTTAATGCTAATAACAATGTATTATTAGTATACAGAAACAATGACTAAAATAAGTCCTGTTTTATCTCAGGCAAAGTCTGATTTGTTTTGTTTTTTATTAAAACATTATATTGTCAGTACGTTAATAATAGAATAATAATCTTCAACTTATTTCATTTTATATAATATATTCTCTATGTTGGAATGTGTTCATGTTATTTTGTGTCTTCCATATATGCACACAGGGTGGTAAAATATAAATGAATCAACTCAACATAATCTTTGACTGACAAGGTTTTTTCCACACAGCTGTTGTATCGATGCATTTTACTGTGTGTTCATTAAATTGTGTCCACTTCTTGTTTATATCTCCCAAATGAGGAAATTAAGCCTTTTCCCATTACCTTTCTACTAAGGAATGGGCCGATACTTTCAGGAGCCATAAGATGGAGCTAGAGACCATTAAATCCACATTTCTCATCTGCAGAGCTGTGACCTAAAATTCAGATATAGCCTTCCAACTGTACGCCATAACAAGTTAGAGCAGTCAAAGCAGATGGATTTCTTAAAAACAGTTTGTTGCTTCACTAAAAGTGGGTTTATTTCTGAAATAATATTCAAATGTCACTATATTACCAATTATTTCTGACATTTTATTAGTCACATATATCAACCAATTTATAGCCTAAATCATTATGTAATTGGCATTACTGGTTGGCTGGTTATTGTACTAATAATAATACAAAGTAATTACTAAACCCACTTTTATTTTCAGTCCCTGTCATCTTCCTCCTCATCAATATTTAAATGGTATAACCAAAGCCTAACTAGTTATGAATGATTCAATATTCTAAAATGTGTTTGAACACGTAATCATTTGTGCATTAATTATTAATCACATTTTAGAGCTGTTAGCATGACTGTATTTAACTGGTAGGTGCTGTGTCTGTGTCTTGTTTAGGAGCTAGTTTCTGTTGTCATATTAAACTTTATTCAGATTGGCTGACAATTTGTAGCTCATTGATATGGGTTCTTAAGATAAGGTCAGATACTTGCCTGAAGTGCAACCGTTTACTGTACTGTATACTGTACTGTACTAATTCTCTATAATCAAATGTTTTCATGCGCATTGAATGGTTACCATTTTGCTGTATGTAATGCTGTAGTTCATATACAGGAAACAAATAGGGAGTACTGTAAATTGTATTAGAGATTAAAAAATTGTACCATTTGCCAGGAATTGTCCATTTTGTCCTTGCACATTTTTTTCTCTGTGTTTATATCAAACTTGTTACTGTAGAAAATTTTGACTTAACAACGTGACACCTCATTCAATTCTCATGTTATTAATTGTGATATTCATGGGTTTCCACTGATTCTGGCATGTTGTAAATTATGTGATGAAGCGAGGAATCCTGTCAAAATGTCCCAGTAAATATATCCTAAAACAAAGATGGTAGTTTTTACAGTTTCATGTGATCTCTAATAAAGCTAATACTCTGTTGTTCGACCTTCATGTGTACATGTACATAGAATGAGCAGATATGACCCATCTGAAACAAGGTTGTGTGTGCCTCTTATTTATTTGTCTTCATGAGCAATTCACTGGATAAAACAAATACTGTTACAACACAAAAAATTATTATTTTCCAAAGCAATTTTGGCCACATGTTATGTACATGTTACAACGTCATAATAAAAAGACAGAAGATCATCTCCTCATATCACTGTTTTCTCCATTTTAATAATTAAAAAAAGCTTTTCACTGTTCACCAGGCATTTACATTGGAATAGAATGCTCAGGTCAAACCACCTTCACTTTTTTTTATTATTTGCAAATGCAAATCTTGTCAACAATAAATAATACTATAAAATGTACACAAAAAGATTGACAGTCCACCACAAGTTAAAACGTTGAACAGATTGGATGTTTAGGAACAAGGAATTTAGGAGGAGGGTTTCTTCTTAGCAAAAATGTGAGGGTTCATACAAGTTACAGAAAAAGCTGATCATCTATACATTGACACTAGCAAGATAACAAAGTTGTTGTTTCTGGTATATTTCATTTTGTACAAAGAAGGGAGTCTTCTTTACAAGCGAGCATCATTGTCTTAACTGTAGAGATTATACAAGCAAGAGTTAAGGCAACTTCTCTGTTGTTTTTGAAAAGTAACATGAAGTCATGTCATGTTTTATTTTGTCTGTGGACCACGCGTCTATATTAGGGTTGGAGTTAGTTGTCATTGCATAATTCAGGCTGCTGACCAGGCCTGTAGTCCATCATCAAAAAAGGAATGCTGGAGATTTGTCACAAGTCTGTTTGCCATCACCGAGACTGATTCAGTGGTCCAGGATTTCCACTTGAGAGTTAGGCTCTCATGTCATCAATATCTGCCTCAGACATGGACTGTATACCGTTTGCAACGCCAACACAACATGGTGCAGATTAGGGTCAGACATAACATGCATGTTGTTTTGTCTGTGTGTGTCTGAATGTGTGTGTGAAAGTGTCAGGCAGGAGAAAAAGCAGACATGATAAAAGAATTTGGTTAGTTCCTCATCAAAAATGAAGCCCCCTTCACCTTTGTAAATCAGTGTAACATTTCTGGTAGAGAAAGTGACTGGAGACTTAGCCAAGAAGAAGGGTCAGGAAAAGGTCACCAAAACAATTCACTTTTGTCCTCTGGGGAGCAAATGTACAGAACAGACATCTGGGAAATACACAAGCTTAGCTGTGGTAACAGACAAGATATAGCCTAATGTGCAGTGAGCCTTAGAGGTGTCGGTAGGTTTGTTTCTACCTTTGGACAGAACCAGGCTAGCCCCCCCCCCGTTTCCAGTCTTTATTATTTATTATTAATTTCACTCAAGAGAGCAAATAAGTGTATTTGCCAAAAGGTGAACTATTTCTTTCTGGCCATTCATTAGCTTTAGATATTTCATGTACAAAGCTGATATTATGTCCTGAGGGTGGCGCTAGAGGAAAGCTCATAAAGAGTCCAAATAGCAAGGGGTTCATCCTCTGATTAACATCAATGTGCTCAGTACATTTTATGGCAATCTGCCCACACAGCCATCATTCGTCTCCACTGTTAGCAGGACATAAATTTATTAGTCTACATGTCATGTACTAACAACACTGACTCCTTTCTTTTCTTTTACAAGGTCAGTCTTCCTGTTTTTTGCAGTGTATGCAAAAGTGTTGGAGCAGTAAACAAGCTAACCAGGACACATTGATCATTTTGAAAACCAACAGAACAGTCTTCTCCCACCTTCTTTTAACTGCGTGGTGCAGGTTCACTAACAAACAGCAAACTGTAGCCTGGCCTGAGCTGTATCAGTGGCTCAGTTTTGTACAGGGTTGTAGCTACAAGTAAACATACTGAGGGCATTTCCTCTATGTTTTTGCAACCAGGGGGGACTTTACATAATAATAAATATAAAATATAAAAAGTTTGATAAGAAATAACATTTACATAAAGAATAACTTTACAGTTGACTGAATAAATAATATATAAAAAACTGAAGTAACTGAGATTATTCTTTTTGTTTCCTGGTCAAATTGGTGAGGGCGGTGTTGCGGGGCTCATGACCACTGAAATCCTAGCCATGGCCCTGGTTTTATATGACTCCCACATTTTTAGACAGCACAGCCACAGAAACTACAGTGTCCCATTTCTCGGTTACTTCAGTCCTGATTTCTGTTCTGCCACTAGTAAGATTCTGCATGAGACAACTGACGGTTGGATGGGGAAATCTCACTTTTTTTTTTCCATTTCTATTCTTCTGATATGAACTGTAATTTTAAAAATGCTGTGTTTATGGATATCTGGGAAAAAATTACAGAAAGGAACATCTCTACCTATGGACAAATGCAATTTGGCAACAGGCAGATGGAACAGGCAGCTTAAAAAGAGCATTTTCACTGCCTTTGCTTGGAGAGAAATGAAGCAGGGGCAAGGAAATGCTTAAAGTGACACCAAAGCTGGGCCTTGGCAAGCGGCAAGCTAAGCCTAAATGCCTGACTAACAGGCAACAGATAGAGTTGCACACTGCTTACTCTGAGTCAACACTCTGTAATCTCAACTGGGCTCTCTGCTTGCACCTGCCTGACACACACACACACACACACACACACACGTACACCCAGTTAAATTTACTATGTGAATTGTGTGTGTGACATGAGTATGAGTATGAGTACTATAGGTATGTGTGAATATGTGTATGAGTAAATGTGGGGCCTCATTTGGACACAGAAATAATCACACAATGTCTCACCAAGACAGAATTAACTTAAACAAAGGCTACAGGAAAAACAGTGAGATAGGACTGCAAAGCGATGTACATCTAATGTAACTCATGATTAAATCCCATATTAAAATTTTAAGCCAGATTTGTATTTCACCTTACTTGCAGTGTGACACGGCATAGGCCTTTATAGATTGAATAAACCACAAAGAGAGACAACAGAGTAATGCTGCTTTTGATATCCACTTGTTGTCCTGTATCTTCCTTTTTTTTTTTTTTAAATAAGTGCTTGTTATTTTGGCAACTATAAATTATCTGGTCAAATCTTCAGTTTGAAATCCCATTTCCACTGAAAACTAGGTGACATGTTTTGCTTCAACACACCAGAGGCCTTTGGCATATGATAATACCTTGTCTTGCACTGGTACAATGTACCTCCTCCATAGGAGTGTAAACTAAATGCTGGCTTTGTTTGATGGAGTCCTAGCTCACAGGCTTAAGCTGCAGTGTAACTAGATCAGATCAAACTGGATGGGTGACAGTTGTGTTGCATTTACTTAAAGTGCCCAAAAAGCTGTACACAGAGCATGACACTGAATCAAGGAAAACACTGGCTTTAAATTTGGCTTAAAACTAAAATTAAAGCAACTTGGCAGGATTGGTGGACAACCAAGAGGCAACATTTTAAATATTTCTCAAATTATTTCCAAATTGAGTTTTTCCTTGGTGTGTTTATTGTAGAAATATATCTGTAGTATTACTTCAGCAAGTTTCCTCAAGGTCCCAACAGAATTATTTATGAAAGAGCTGGCTTCCCTCTGCCCCCTTCAAATTCAGTGCAGCCAGTCTCAAACTAACCCATTACAGGAACATCACCGGTCGAAAAGATTTAGAACTAGCTTGCGGTAGCAAGTACCCATTGCAGGTTGGCAGAGTTTCTACATTGCCATGTCATCCCAGTTCTTTTGGAGGTGCAGTAAGCTTTGAAACAGCAGCATTACTGTTACTAGCACGACTTACTGTATAAGCATACTCTGCATTCTCGAGGGTGCAAAACTCTCAGTAGAATGAATGATTATCATGATTCTGTCTCATTCTATGCAACAATAAATATTGAGGTTCAATGAACTTTAAGACCAAACCAAGGGATGCCACAGGAAAATTAATTGCTGGTGAACATTTGATCCTTTAGTTTACTGAATAAGTCGGAATAACTCTCAACAGAATTGGTGATTTTATGTCCAAGGACTGTTTTGCAGCCTCTGATTGAAATACCTTTTTAAATTGTCCTTCAGTCATATTACATTAACAGTATTCATGCTTGTGCTTCTTTTTAGCTACCACGCATCACAATCACCCAGAACACGTTAGGTTGGCAAGTACATTTTTGCTGGTTGTGCACAAGCAAAGGCCAAGAAAATACAACAGAATTTCTGCCATTTTTGCCAGCTCTGTGGCTCTACAATCGAAACATTATGAAACCAGTCTATACCTTAGTGACAAGCCTTGTGAGAAAAAATAACACTTACTGGAGCAGAGATTTTGTACCTGTGGTGTGGCACTAGGTTGGACCGAAATAGGAGCATTTCACTGAGGGATGGAAATCTCTCCATGGGGCTCCTTCACTATGTCCCAGCAGCAGCTCATAGTGTGTTCCATAGTAACAGACAATTCGGGGAGCATTTGGGTTGATAGGGGAGAGTGGATAAGCTATAAGAGCCAGTGTGGGCTGAGAGTCTCTAAATGAGGAGAGAAGCAGCGGGGTAAAGTCCTCCTGTTGCAGGGACACTGTCTGCAGTTCAAAGATCAAGTGATCCTGCTGGCCATGACATCAAGTCTGTAGAAGTTCAGTCCATCAGAGTGTCTGTCACACGGACAAAAGGAGTCCTGTCCGCTCTACTATGATACACATCAACATGTTTGATTGGACTCTCATCAGTCGTCAAAGGCGATTTGTGGTGCTGGTAGACTGGACGATGAGTGAGGACGAGAAAATTGTTTGTGTGTGCACGCGTGCGGTGGTGTAGTTGGGAGGAGTGGGATTTGGAGGTGGGGGTGGACAAGTGAGTGTCATTGATGGCACTGTGGTCCTCAGAGCGTCCATCTGTGAAACAAAGCGGGAGGAGAATTAGACTGAGTCACTGGGCGAGCAACCCCCTCCTCCCCCAAGGCTGTTCTTTTGTGAAGTCAATGCATGAAGTTGAGCAGGCAGCCCCAACTTTATTTGCAAGGTAAGTGGGAGAAAAGGGGGGTGTTACAATCAGAGTAACAGGGCTCATAAAAGAACCACACAAGAACAGTTTTTATGTTAAAAGCCTTGAGGATCAAATTGGAGAAAATTCTAATTTTCAGCAGTGCTTCCTAATTTGTACACGTAAATCCCTCTCTTTGGTACACGCAATCAGAATCAGCTTGAGGACACTTCTGGGCAAGTAAAGAATGAAATATTCAGTGTCTGCTTCTCTGGTGATGTAAATTTTACATAATGTTTTAGATATTTCATAATGCATGCTGTATGATATTGCAGACAAGTAGGCAAAGTGAGATAAAGCAAACCGATTTTACATTCTCTCTATCAATAATCAGAAATTGGTATCTTAAAGTATGTGAAGGTTATGATTCATTCCAGCTGCTTTTAGCAATACTAATGGTGCATGGGGCTTGATTTCCATTTTTTGTCATTATTAATTACTCTAATTCAGAGCACTCGCCTCATGTTACCACAACTTGAATTGGCCTTCAATTGCTCTTGAATACGATTTCATTTAATTACCAACTCGAGGAGTGCATCATTAAATTTGGTATTAATGTGTTGAATAAATCCTTTGTTACAAAAGTCTTCCCATTTATATTCTGAAGCTTGTGAACATAATCTGCCTCAGTCAAAGTAAAGCAACAAGTCATCTTCCTGTAAAATGGGAGTAATGTGCCGGCTCATGAGGAAATATATGTGTAAATTCTAGAAAATGTATGTCTTGACTGAACACATTAGTATACTAGTATGTTTCCATTTATAATAATATTTGATGAGCTCATATCAAGTTTTAAAATGTTATTTTAATGCAATTAACAAGTTTAATTTTAGTGTCTAAATGCTCAGGGTAAGATGCTTGGGGAAATCCTGGCATATCCCCTGTCATGCCCAGATGTACTAACCACCTCCTTTTAAGGATGGATCATTTCATCTTTTCAAAAATGGGCTTCATATCATGGTCTCTTCTGGTTCATTAACCCTTGTACTCTGGAGGGCCCCTCCAGGTGACATTCAAATACATCACAGCGGAGGTAAGGCTGGGGAACGTGAACTCTGACATTCTTTTTGGATAATAATTCAGTTAATGCTTGTCCTCTTCAGAACTGTCTATGTGAGGGCACACTGCGTCTACCCTTGAATCAAGCATCACATTGTGAAATTCTGATGAAGTGATCAGCCTTATTGTGCCATTTCAAAATGATCATGCTACACTGGACAAAACATAAAATAAGACTGTTGTCAGAATCTCCCAAATTTTAAGATGATAAGAGCAAGTATGAATAGTAAACAACTGATTAAAGAACATTTTGGAAGTAAAGGCGATAATTTCAAATAATTTAAAGATACACACTGGGGAGTGAGAGACATTTGAAACATCAAAACCGACTGATTATTTGATGGGCACCCTACAGTGAATTACAAAATGTCACTGAATAAATCTGTGTAAATTTATACTTAAATACAGACTGCCCACAACTGCATAAAAGTGTTAGAGGTAGCACACTGGGGTTAACGCACCTCATTTGTTTTGATTGCGGATTCGCAGACACCTCCTCTTCAGTGGCGGCTCCAACTCGGGGCTCCCGGCTGCTGATACAGGGGCACTGATGGAGCAGGACAGGATGGCTGTCTTGTCAGCGCTGGGCTTTGGCACAGGCTGGATGACAACACAGCCTCCGGTAGACAGCAGTGGCAGGGCATAGGCGTGCTCACCCTCCTCCAAGTTGGAGTCAGGGTCTGGCTTACCCTCCACTGTGTCCGCCATCTCGTCTTGCACTGGGCCCCGCCTCCCCGGCTCCCAATCTCCGACCGAGCAATTGTTCTCTTTCAGTGCTTCACGCTCTAGCTCACCATTGGCTGGCTGCTCCTCTGCCTCTCCTTCTCCTGTAACGCTGTCTCCTATCCGGTCAGGGCAAGACTCAAAGGCAGGAGGGGGAAGCGAATGCCATCCCGTACCATTGACTATGACATTACATGGGGCAGCAGGGCTAGTTTGGAGCTGGGGCAGGGGTTGTGGCTGGGTCCGTGCTGTGCTAGGTAAGGGTGGTGGGGTAAGATTGGAGATACAGGGATTTAGCAGGCTCACTGGAGGATCTGCATTGCAAGAAGGGCTGCTGTTGCTGGAGGGTGGGCCTGATGATTCCAGTGTGCTTGGGAGTGGGGCCCCTTCCAGCTCTGTAGCACTGAGGAGGCCATGTGAGAGGGCCCCTTCCCCCCCATCACGACTACCCTTCCCTTCCCTCCCCAACCCAGTAGCTGGTGGAGATCTTGAGTCAGCCTCTGCCTCTACTTTGACCTGGACCCCAGGTAGCATCCTCTGAATTACCTGCTGTTGGCATGACCTCTGGCCCACCGTTAGATCAATCACTCCATCCATCGGTCCGGGGCCGCTGCTTAGACACAGGTTGCCCGAATTGTCCTCTGCCTTCACAGTCAAGTCCACCAACGCTGTCCTGCTTCTCTCAGAGCGTACAGGAGAGAGATGCTCTGTACCAGCGGGCTCTACTTTCTGCTCCCCTCTGTCACCTCCAGAGGAACCTGGAGAGTGGAGCCTAGAAGCTGAAGCTTCAGAGGACTCTGGAGCACTTCGGACGGAGCCACTTCTCTCCGGCTGGTCCCTGGAAGCTTTGGGACTGAAGGGAATTGGGATTGGAATAGGAATTGGGACTGGGAGGGGTACAATGACAGGGTAAGGGACCAAGAGAGTTGGTGGGGGTACCAAAGGGGCTAAGGATGGCATGCCAAAGTTCATCATTGGGGGCAGAGGAATGCGTCCATTGGGCATCATGTTGATTGGTGGGAAAGGGGGCATGCCCGGCATGGAGAGTCCAGGATGGGGAGGCATCATGCCAGGGTTTGGATTGGATGAGGGGTGGACATGTGGAGACAGCAGGGGCCTGTGCATGGGGCTTGATGCTGGACCAATGGTCCTAGGGGGAGGTGGTGGACCAATACCAGGGATAATAGGGTTTGACAAGGGGCTATTGGGCCCTGCTGGGTGGGCAGAGGGACGAAGAAATGGTGGACGGATATGCTGCATCATTTGATGCTCCATGAACAGGGGCAGGGGCATGGGTCCCCGGGGTGTCATCACCATGGGAGGACTACCAGAGGGAACCCCGACAGGTGGGTGCAAACTGGGAACAGGCGGAGGGGGAAGTGTGGGGCTCTCGTGGGGCCTGGGTGTGGGGATCTTGTTTGAGGAGGAAGAGGATGGGGAGCAGAGGGCAGCAGTGTCTGAGGGCGAGGTGGCAGAGGAAGTGGAAGGGGCCAAAGCAGAGGTGGTGGAAGGCCCCCCTGGTGACGGAGCTTTACGACGGAGGTCCGTTAATGGCGTTCCCCAAGATTCAGGAGTGAGCAGCTGTACCCCTCCACCACACTCCAGCTTACCATCCCCACCAGTCCCATGTCCTGGGTTACACAGTGCTCCAGGCAGCGCAGCCTGGGTCTCCTTGTAGAAAATGTCCATCTTATATTGGTTCAGACATTTGGCACTGCAGAACTGCAGCCTTCGCTCACCAGCACCAAAGTCCAGGTACTCCTTAGTGTGGCGAATATGTTTGCACCAGTCACACACCTGCAACAAAAAGCACACACAGTACACACACTGCATCAGCACCTGTCACATTGCATACAAAAGACTTCTAATTTGTTTTAGATGAAATACAACACAATCTCCTATGAAGTGCCCTGGTAAGCAGAAGCTCAGCCTCCAAACCATCTGGAGATAAACACATTTAAAAAAGATTATTTTTAAGGAATATTATGCTGTTTCTAAATACTTCTACAGATCTGTCAAACAGACACGTAACTTTGAAATTCGTATAACCCACATGTCTGTATGTATTTGATTTATGTAATGTAGCTGTGTGTGTTTGTGCATGTGTCTACATTGAGAGGTAAATGTGCACCTGATGGCATTCTGCTGCTACATGGTATTGAAGTGACTTTGTCTTTCTGTCCTAACAAGGAATGCCCATTTACACCTTCTGTTGGCAATAAAGACACTCTCAGTCTCATTTAACCACAAATCCCTAGGAGACTGACGCCCCAAGCACAACAAGACAAAAAGATTATTTCCCTCAAATGGCCTTCCGCACACAAGTGTGTGCCAACTACGAGACAGCCACTATAGTTAAGTCTGTTTGAGTGCTAGAGAGATACTGTATAATGTTTATCCTAAAGAAATGACCAATACTGAATTACATAGAAAACTGCTGCTGCAAGTTTCAGCTTTCAAGCACTTTGCACTTCAGGCCACACCCAGATCACTAATGATCTGAGAAGCATTTTGACTGTTGTAATGGTTTACTTTATATCTCTTCAGAGGCATCAGATGATTGTTTTGATGTGGCATCAGATGAATCACTTAATGCAGAACTTTGAGCTCTGAAGTTCACAAAAAAGGTGTAGCTAAAAACCAGAGCTTACAATATTTCACTAAGTTAAAACATTAATTAAGTGTGTGGTTTTGGTGTCAATCATTTAAAATCAGAGAATTTTTCTTTAGAATATTTTAAGAAGGATGTGTGTTCTGTAGTCTGTTGGGACATGAGTATTGCCATTCTGCATGTAGTAATGGAAAGTAAAACAAATACATACAGAAAGTTGAAAACAACATTGTTTTAAGCATAATGCTGCCATTCTCAACAATGATTAACCATGTTACAGTGGCAAATATATTTATCCACCTCAAAAGACCAAAAAGCAATGCAGCCTTACTGCCTAGATTGAGCACCCCAACACAGCACTGTTCTCTCTTTCCTTAATTTTTCAAATGGAAGAGAATTTATACATAAAGGCTGTCTGGGAAGTGCATTATATTGTTAGGTGCTAGTATTATTGTGCCCACACTACATATAAGTGTAAGGTCTGGATAACACAAACACTTAACAATATAATACAATGCAGCATCACAGAATTCTTCTTCAAAAAGTACAATAACACCTCTCAAACCTAGCTTGTGTGTTCTGTGAATATACAAACTTCAGCCCTGGTAATGGTGTAAAATTGATTATTATTCCTATTGTTCACTGATATCCAATCATGTATATTGTCATTGTTCTTATTTGGATTTTTGTATTTTTTTTACTGACAGCTGTATACATATTCTTGGCTCTTACAATGTCATACTAATGAACTTTTGTAATAAAAAGTTGTTTTTAACTATTTAAATAATATATATAATTTTTCTTTAGGTATGACAGTAGTTTTTAGAATTACAAGATCACATGCAAATCAACTTTTAAGAGTCACATTACTTTGCCAATTCAATTTCAAACAAAATTTTTCATCCAAACCATAACTGGATCCACACATGATGAGCCTACACTGAAAAGTTGCCTTTCTTGCTTACTGCAGTGGCAGAGATCCCAAAACACCCTGCTGCACTGTTTCATCACCGTTGTACACCTTTTCAGCACAAAAAGTGCAGATTTTTCTTTGGGAAGAAAATGAATGTGACCCTGGTTGAGCAGATAGCAGTGGGCAAGCCCTGAACACGGCGTTACTCGTCAGGCCACACACAGCTCACTCTGTCAGCTCCGGGAGGAGTGGCAGGTCCTCGCTGGAGATAATTAAGGCATTAATCAGTTGTCAGACCCCTCAACGACATCCATCCATCACACAGACCCTTAAGTCCCCCAGCTGAATGTTAATAAGTTGAGGGATGCAAACCGGAAGGTGGATAAACTCCTTTTGCACGCTGCATAGCAACATTGGTTTACTTGGCAGGATCCTGTTTGGCAGCAGCTGAAAGACAGTGGACTCACATTGGCTGTTTGGGCAGATGCACTGTAGCACTGGCCAGGATTTCAAAAGAATGCATAGCATGCTGTCCTGCAGCTGCTACACGTGTAAAACATCAGGTTCTTTGCATAGATTATGTGTTTTACATCAGATTGTCCAGTACAAGGTAGACTGAATCAATGAAGAGGCATCTTTCAAAAGGACAAGTTTTAAAAGATGTACCAAAGCTCTGCATTTGTCATAAGTTCAAAGTCATTATGCAGTGTCACTCAGGAGGGATAACGTGCCAAACTGCAATTTGGGAGGAATTTTTTGACACTAACACATGAATAGAGCTCAGGACAAGCAGCTAGAGAACTCGAGGAACCACAGCAAAAGCAGATCAGAGACTGGACTACAGCAACTTCTATGCTTAAAGGTGTCAGTCCCTCGAATTCGACACGTTTTTTTAACTGCCCATTTAGTCCTGGCTAATTCAATGAGCCATGACTGAGTAAAAGTCAAAAAGGTGCTCGCGCAAGTTGAGCTTAATAACGGTAGGCCCAGGATATTCTAAATAATAAATGTGCTGAAATTTTCCTCGACTCAGAAAGACAGATGGAGAGCACTTAACGACTTTCTGCACTGTGAGTGAAATTTCACTGTGCATTACGCTAATGGAGTTGTGCTTTCTCTCTCTGTCTCTCTCTCTCTCTCTCGATCTCTCCCCACTCTGTACACAGATGTTTGCAGTTGAACGTAATTATGGTCATTTATTTCCATCGTGGCCAACGAACCAGTACCGGTGGTGCAGTTTAACCGTTTGCATTACAACAATTATCGTGCTTCCAAACAAGCGCGATTGCCTCAGCAGTCATCGTTCCCTTCCTCCTCTCACCCTCCAACCCAGTGACGAGGCCAGTGACATTTAAGAATCCCAAGATCAGGCAACAGCTAGCTTTAGTGTATAATTAGTTTACATTAACAAGTTAGGTGAGGAGTTTCTTAAAATGGCGACCGGAGGGCACTCTCATGGGCTAAGGGACCGGTTGGAGAGTATTAAATTGCTGCAGTCACAGAGATGAAAGAGGAGGTTGTGGACCAACAGGTTGCAGAGGAGGATGAGAAAGTTTCAGTGAAGTGAGGAAGAGGAAGAGGTTGCAGATGTTAAAGAGACTACAGAGGATGTGGAGGATTGAGATAATGAAGAGGAAGAAGAGGAGGTTGCAGAGGTTTAAGAGGCTGGAAGGTTTCATACGCTGCAGAGATTGTAAGGTTTCATAAGAGGCTGTAGTGCCTGAAGTGGTTTTATATGTAGGATGAGGAGGTTTCTAAGAATGAAGAGGTTTAAGCAGTAAAAGTGCATAAAGGGACAGGCTTGAATATCTCCCTGTTAAGGTCGATATGTGATTCTTTTGACACTTCTCAGATTGCTGGTATAATCGCACAGTGCAAAACACAAGGATTAAACCCATGAAAAAGAACCAGGTGCTTGATGCGAGCCAGTTGCTTGGTTTTTAGTTAAGTCGTCTCTTACTGCAAACAATCTGCAGCAAAGTAACCACTCTTCACAATTAAAGTCCATCAGTGATGTGAAGAAGGCAAACAGAAACAGTGAGCTTCTTGCATTGTGGATTCAGTCCAGAAACTAGATTGTGTAGCAAGAGACTGCCATCATAAAGCACCTGGTCCACTGGAAAAAGAAAACAGAATAAAGCTTCCACTAAAGTTTAAACAAGAAAATTAAACTCTGGCAATGCTTAACAGACCATCTGCAACATGTGGACTTGTTACTATGATTAGCCAAAATATCAGTTTACAGTGGCCTCATTTATTGAAATATCTATCATGATGGTTATAATTACCTGGCTCACCAAAGGGGAAACATATCTGGTTCATATCCTTTCCCAGTGTTTTACTCTGATATCGGCTACACTGTGTATCTGACTTCTTCATCAAAGCCTGAATGGAGCATGAAGAGTTTAAACTGTAGATAAAAGCCAAAGAAGACCAGCACTACTCTCCCTGTGGGGCCTGTCTTATCACAGCCAGCCATCACCATCAGTCATTATAGATGTGACATACAAAGGCCAGTCTCACTTGGCCAGGTGAACCTCGATTGCACTATATTTCACAGCCCACACTCACGCACTGTGAGTAAAATAGCTCCAGCTGTAAGAATGATGAGACAGACCTGGTGGATTGTGTTTGAGTATCACTGCACCAGACTGGACTGCTCTGAGACGCAATATCTTTGTTGGCTGTTGGCCACATGTTTGCTTTTTCATGTGGAACATCTTTGCTTAAAGCAATAATTTGACATATTTTTGGGTAATGTGGTTATTTCCTATATTTGAGTTAGATGAGAAGCTCAATCATGTCTGTGTGCTAAATATGAAGCTACAGCCTGCAGCAGGAGCATATGTATGTTCCTGTGGCCCTAGGTTTCCCCGTGACCATAACTCTAGAACTGGGGAACATAGGACTGTGGGAATATAGGAATGATTAATTTAACATAAAGAAACAGCTAGTCTGTCCAAACATAAAAACAAATCTGCTTACCAGCACCTCTAAAGCTTATATTATATCTAATTTGTCTAATCCTTGCAAAAACCTAAGTATACAAACAATATGCTGGGGTTTTAGAGGGATTATGTGCTGAATTATTTCTTGGTTAAACAAACGAGGTGCTGTTAGGAGGATTTTGTTACATTCAGACAGAGATCGGTAGCTACCTTCATATGTAGCTTACAAATACAAGCATTATTGATCTTCTCATCTCTCATCAAGGTAGTAAATAAATGCAATTCCCAAAATGTTGAACTATGGCTTTAAAGGAAAATTGTGGTCCTTTACCACTTTTGTAGTTTTGGCCACCATTTCTATCAGTTCTACTCACAATTAAATTATCTCAGATCAGGAAACACAACAACATTGTTAAAAATGAAACCCAGTGGGGCAAGACATGAGCAGTCAGACAATCAGACAGGTCCTCCCCTACAGCGAGTACAGTGAGCCAATATTTCAGTAAATCCATCTATAATCTGTGACGGACGATTAAACCATACAGTTGGGTTATAATTTTACGGTTTGATATTGTTTTTTAATCCAAAAAAGCTTGGATATCCTGGGTCTGGCTGGTGTTTCTTGACCCATCTGACCTCTTGTTAGTGGTGTTCCCATTATCCAAGATCTCAGTAATTAACGTGGTGAGTACAGTGTTATTATTAGACATACAAAATGAATAGACATTATGTTTAAAACTATGAAAATAAGACCCAAATTGTAATAAACCTGAATATTCCTTTAAGTCTACAGTAGCAGCATATGCATGGTGTGTTGGTGGCATATATTTTAGTCTTTTTGTTATAATGACGGGTCCACCATACAGTTTACTTTCACTAAATTATGAATGATCTATGTCAAACATATATATCACTGTGCTCAATAAATACAAACAAAAATAATTAAGTAAATCCACACTATTCAATATAGTATATATGTTAATGTCATAAATGTTATCATTGCAATAATATCATACCAACTTCAATTCTGGATTAGTTTACATTTGTCTGATAATTCCCAACAGAAGTTGCTGAATATGATGTATAAGGAAAATGAGCAAAGCAAATGATTACGCATGAAAAAAGTTATGAAAAGCTCAAACTTAAATGTATGCAAACTTCATGTAAAACATGAGTGCCGCTTGTGTACTGTCTCTTATATATTTGGGCTGACCTGAGTCTGATAGTTGATGTCTACTTTTACAGTAATGCCCAAATATGAACCAGTCCATTGACATGTCAGGAAGAAATGACTTGAAATTATACACTTTTGACAAAAAAACAACATCAAAACATATTTGTGCAGTAGCCATCAAGCTTAAACTCTATCTGGTGTTAAATGGTTATGGTCCTTACAAGCACATCGCTGTTTGTCTTGAAGACAAGCCTGGGCGTGTCCTGAGTAAAGCTGTGCTGGGGTAATTTCCCACCGAGGCCATCGTCGTCTCTCGCCTGGGGGGAGAAATAATGGCTTCTTTTTACGAATGGACAAAATAAACAGGTGAACAGAGGCAACAAGGAAACTCAGAAATGGAAAACAACACTGAGAAAGATAAACAGAAATGGTGACTGTAAAATGGGTGAAGAGTCATTGGTTTGCGGACAAACCAATCAACAGGATTCTGCAACAAAACTGTGTGCGTGAGTGTGCATGCATGCATGTGCGTGGTTGAGGAATCTGCAAGACATTCAAAGTGCTGCCTGCCACCACAGTGTGTGTGTGTTCACTCAAACATTTATTTAAGATATAAAGGTAAATTAAACACATTTAAATTAAAAACCTAATTTAGTAATACCACTGCATATTAACATCAAGAAATTTAAATGAATGGAAGGCTCTGAAACCTGTATAAGATCTCTGTTAATACACACATTTGCAGTTGCACTACGGTGGTAACACATAGTATGCAAAGCAGGAGTCATTAGTAACTCTTCAGTCATGCTTGTTCACTTGTCTAATTTTCTCCATAAACTCAATGGGAGGTTGGATACTATATTTAAAGACGCTGCCACCCACACAGGTGTTTCCCTTATTCTTGTTGATAAGACTTCTGCTCAGATTGAGTGGGGTTTTGCTGAGAAATTACATGATTTCACTAAACTCTTCAGCCTGAGTTTGCATCTTTAGTTGTATTCTGTATTATAGCAGTTCATTATCAAGTGACACGAGATACAAACCGACAGTGCACCTATAAAAGCAGCTGAATTGATTATCAGTGTCAACATTGGATTTTATTTTTATGTAATTGCCAGTGACGGTGCATTTGCAACAGTTTGTTGTGCCTCCATAGAGCTTTTCACCAAGTGGGAGATATCATCAGTGTCTGTCCTGTCCATATCAGTGTCCTGATATTTCTAACTTCCAATTGCAAGTGAGAGGTTGACGTGAATGTTTTTTCCCACTTTCTTTCTTTTCCTTTTATTGCCTTTCATTGATAGTGACAGCTGAAAAGTGACATGAAACGGGAGGAGAGAGAGGGGGCGACACGCAGCAAAGGGCTACAGGCCGGAGTCAGACCCATGGCTGCTGCAGAAAGGACTCAGCCTTGGTACACGGAGTGCTCCGGCTCTACCAGGTGAGCTATCCAGGCACCCCTTTTTCCACTCTGCTGCTTGTAATTACAGTTTAAACAATATGACATTAACATTAGTATATATTTATACATTTATTGTGCACCTTTACACATTATTCCAAGATTTGTTAGCTATTCAGTCACACCATATAAACAGCCTAAATCAGTTATTTTTATTGTCTTACATATAATTAGCTCACAGTTAAAACCAGAAATAATCCACTAATGTAAAGCTTCTTTTTAATTGGATAATTCTACTGAATAAGGGTCAGGGACACTTCTGTAGTTATTTTTGCTAAAGGGGTTAATATCTTACCTGTCAAAAGTTCCTGATATCTCCGACCTAACAACTAAGAGGCTGACATGAACGGTTTCTCCCACTCGGCTGCTTACGGTCTGAATGACAAGACATGAACTCAGCATAATTACATTTAAAGGTGGAGGTTTTCCACCTTTAACAGGTGCAATAAAGCTAACTAAGCTATGAGTGAGTGAGATGTCAATCACAGTTCACAGTCCTCCTGAGTAAAAGTGTAATCAGTCAAAGCAAGTAAAAAATACCTGCATGGGTGAAACATGAGTGTGTAGGGGCTTGCCTCCATGGACTAAGCAATACAATTAGCTAATGCTGGCTAAGGAACATCTACTATTTTTCAACAATGTAACAAAAGGTTTTACGGAATCACTTATAATTGCAGTGGAAAAAGTACAGCAAGCTTATCAGTATTTCAGAGTAAACTACAACGGGATGAATAAACCTCAACACAAAGAACAGACTTATTACCTGGCTTGTTTCTGATTGGACAATCAACACAATTTGAGAACTAGTAAGAAACACTGCTGTTTCACACAGACCACTGCTTCAAATCTACCAACACTTATCAAAGAGAATTAAGAAGACATTGTTCATGGCCACATCAAACACTGATAGAACATCTTGGGCAAGACTTTGTAAATTAACGGCATATTTAGTAAAACAATTTCAAATTAGTACTTAATATCAGATCAGTTGAAGTCATTGGTAAGTTGCCGTGTAATAAGCAGGCATAATATGCTGTTGGTTTACACTGTCTTGTATAATTTTGAGAAAATTACTGACTTGGTTCAATATAATACTTGGAGCTGGTTGACTTGGCGATGAATGTAATTGTAATTGCTGTAAAAACATGAAATACTGTGGTTGATTGCTAACAGTATGCTATTAGGCAGTTTTGGCGTGAATAGGGGATTCCCTGCACTTAGGTGCCCCAGCCAAAACTATGTTGCATGTTAGTGGTCAATACATGACAGAATTTTGTAGTACCACAATGTATTCCTGTAGAAATAACAGCTACATTAGGTAAACTATTTAATTTGCTCAAACAGTAGCTGTTGTGGGTTTAATTTCCCATGCTGTAATATTACAATACAAAACTCCTTTAAGCATTTATACCAGCTGGAAAAGGAGCCACCTTCTCCTGCTCTCTGTGAGTCATTCATTATGCACAGTGTGAAAACTGAGGCAGTCAGTGCTGTTATGCCAGGTGTGGGCAATTTTGTTACTAAGAAGTTATTGGAGAAGCTTTCCCTGGCACAGTGCCAAATTGCTCCATTGTGTTTCATTAGATTAAATGCACTTTTATATAATATAGACCTCAGTGTGAAAAAAGTGGTTCATATCTTGCAGCCACTGGGCACTGAGCCACCGTTATCAGAAATGGAGATTTAACCTCAATTATACATGTTCATCATGCCGTTTGCAGCCCCCAAGCTGACATTTCATGCTGAGCCTATGCCATTGACAGGTGAGCAACTGGCCTGAGCAGCTTTCTTTCGTATCATGTTCCCTTTAAATTGCTCGCTGCAACCTTTGATTTGTCATGGGTAATTTGGCCTGCAGCTCTGTTCATCTCTGGATGATACCAAAGGGCAGTTCTAGTGTATATTTTACATTTTTTGTCCAAAGACTGATTGAGTTTTCCTCTGCTTCCATCTGCTTCCCTCACCTCCAGGTAGGGTTTCCCATTCCAAGCATGAGATAAATCAAATATGGCTGTCGTGTGTCTCGTGAAGCATACTGCTACTTGTACCGGAAAAGATACAGTGTAAGAATCTGACAGAAAACATTCGTTTAGAATCAGCACTGACATTTTACAATGTAACAGACCAGATTTTTTACTTTTTCACAAAAGGTTGGAGAAAACAAAACCAAAGATTACGGGGGTCATGGTTATTTAGAAGCTGTCTGTGCACTAAATGAACAGTAGGTGTGGGCTGATCCATTTCAACAATTATCTGTCAGACACACACACACACGCACACACACACACACACACACACACACACACACACACACACACACACACACACACACACACACACACACACGTATGTGCCATGTCTCCTCAGCATGAGCACGGACACATCACACAGACTCACAGGTGAACACTAGAATCTGGGCAGGCATTTGAGGATACACACACACACACACACACACACACACACACACACACACAAAGATACACCATTGTGCTATTATTCTGTCTCCAGTTTGTGCTCTGACCCTCTGGCCCTGCGCCAGTTCATTTGCATATTGTACTAATGAGGTGTTGGCACTGTGAACGAGGCGTGAGGCGCACACAGGAAACCACACAGATAAAGGAGATGGGATTAAGATAGATAGATAGATAGATAGATAGATAGATAGATAGATAGATAGATAGATAGATAGATAGATAGATAGATAGATAGATAGATAGATAGATAGATAGATAGATTGATTGATTGATGTGTTGTAGTCAATCACCACTGCCTCAGCACACTGGAGACATACAGTTTCAGTGGCACTTGTGTTGTTCTGTTTAAAGGTGTCTTTTTTCCTTATTGCTGCTCCATCATGCCAGCAAACTGCAGCTGCCACCCAGCTGAAGTTCCTTATAAGAACGACAGAGCAGGACATCGGCCGCCTAGCTCCCCTCTGGCGACTCCACCGTCCTGAGGGGACGTCACACCAGCTGCCACCACGCTAGCTTCCATCTGGGCGCGGATACATGTCCAGGTGTGTGTGCCCATCACCTGCCAAAAGAGCTGCATTTCCCAAAGAAAGACGCTCGTAGGCAGGCTTTCCAAATCCAAAGACAAATACAGACAAGCGCAGCGGAGCTCAACCCAAATCCTGAAATAAAGGTGCAGTCCTGGCGCTAGGCGTATGACAGGGAAGAAAACACACTCTCCCAAAAAAGAGACAAGTTTGACTCTACTTTCATGTATTTGAAAATCCATCCGAACACCAGTTCAATTCTGTCTGCAGTGCACAATGGAGGTTTTCACACACATACACAGGAATATTTTAAGATTACTGAGACCCTGATCTTTGCACTTTAATTGTGTGTGTGCATTATTTGTCAAGGGTTGTCTGGTAAGGGTAGCAGTGCTTTATTATTGTTATAGGGCTATAATAAGATTAAAAAAAAGATCTTTAGGAGAATTGAGCTTTCTTTTTTATAATCATTTTTACTGATAATGACAGGAAAGGGGAAGAGATAGGGAGCGACAGGCAGCAAAGGGCAACAGGCTGGATTCAAACCCATGGCCGCTGCAGCAAGGTCCCAGCTGTGGTACATGAGGTGCCAGCTCTACCAGGTGAGCTATCTGGGCACCCTAGATTGGAGCTTTTTTTAGCAACATATACTGTATATCTATGTAGAAGTATTTGAGCATATTGCTGGCAACTCTAAATGTTATTGTTTTTGCAGGAAGAATGACACAGTAGTAAATGTCTTATTTAAAGGTCACACAGCAAATTTAATATAAGTCACTAGAATTACATCTTCTTGGCATACTGATTTTGAATTGTTCTTGGAACACAAAAATAATAGTTTTCATCATCACAACACACCT